TAATTTCATTCTACTTTCTTCTGGGCACATTTCCATATCACTTAAGCTTGGGCAACTGACACTCCTGTTCACCATCTTATGCAAACAGTCTACCTCCATAATGCTAGATGTCTAAAATTAATTCTAGTCTGTTCTGAAAGTGGGTGTGGGGGAAGTATGTTTGCAGAATATTATACACAGCAATTGGGACTTACGTTTTATATTCACGTTTTTTCAGTATCTTACAAAGATATATGCCTTTAGGGTATATGCCCAGTAGTGGGATTGCTGGGTTGTACGGTAGTTCTATTTGTAGTTTTTTTTTTTTGCAGTACGCGGGCCTCTCACTGCTGTGGCCTCTCCTGTTGCAGAGCACAGGCTCCAGATACGCACACTCAGCGGCCATGGCTCATGGGCTCAGCCGCTCCACGGCATGTGGGATCTTCCCGGACCGGAACATGAACCCGTGTCCCCTGCATCGGCAGGAGGACTCTCAACCACTGCGCCACCAGGGAAGCCCTATTTGTAGTTTTTTAAGGAACCTCCATACTGTTCTCCATAGTGGCTGTATCAATTTACATTCCCACCAGCAGTGCATGAGTGTCCCCTTTTCTCCACACCCTCTCCAGCATTTATTGTTTCTAGATTTTTTGATGATGGCCATTCTGACTGGTGTGAGATGATATCTCATTGTAGTTTTGGTTTGCATTTCTCTAATGATTAATGATGTTGAGCATTCCTTCATGTGTTTCTTGGCAGTCTGTATGTTTTCTTTGGAGAAATGTCTATTTAGGTCTTCTGCCCATTTTTGGATTGGGTTGTTTGTTTTTTTGTTATTGAGCTGCATGAGCTGCTTGTAAATTTTGGAGATTAATCCTTTATCAGTTGATTCATTTGCAAATATTTTCTCCCATTCTGAGGGTTGTCTTTTGGTCTTGTTTATGGTTTCCTTTGCTGTGCAAAAGCTTTTAAGTTTCATTAGGTCCCATTTGTTTATTTTTCTTTTTATTTCCATTTCTCTAGGAAGTGGGTCAAAAAGGATCTTGCTGTGATTTATGTCATAGAGTGTTCTGCCTATGTTTTCCTCTATGAGTTTGATAGTTCCTGGCCTTACATTTAGGTCTTAAATCCATTTTGAGCTTATTTTTGTGTATGGTGTTAGGGAGTGATCTAATCTCATACTTTTACATGTACCTGTCCAGTTTTCCCAGCACCACTTATTGAAGAGGCTGTCTTTTCTCCACTGTATATTCTTGCCTCCTTATAATTCAAAGAGTCATGTACCAAAATGTTCATTGCAGCTCTATTTACAATAGCCAGGACATGGAAGCAACCTAAGTGTCCATCAACGGATGAAAGGATAAAGAAGATGTGGCACATATATAAAATGGAATATTACTCGGCCATAAAAAGAAACGAAATTAAGTTATTTGTAGTGAGGTGGATGGACCTAGAGTCTGTCATACAGAGTGATGTAAGTCAGAAAGAGAAAAACAAATACCGTATGCTAACACACATATATGGAATCTAAGAAAAAAAAAAAAAGGTCATGAAGAACCTAGGGGTAAGACGGGAATAAAGGCACAGACCTACTAGAGAATGGACTTGAGGATATGGGGAGGAGGAAGGGTAAGCTGGGACGAAGTGAGAGAGTGGCATGGACATATATACACTATGAAACATAAAATAGATAGCTAGTGGGAAGCAGCCGCATAGCACAGGGAGATCGGCTCGGTGCTTTGTGACCACCTAGAGGGGTGGGATAGGGAGGGTGGGAGGGAGGGAGATGCAAGAGGGAAGAGATATGGGGATATATGTATATGTATAACTGATTCACTTTGTTATAAAGCAGAAACTAACACACCATTGTAAAGCAATTATACTCCAATAAAGATGTTAAAAAAAAAAGATATATGCCTTTAAATAAAATTTGGGAATTAACAGAAAATAGTCGAGTGAATCAAAGCTCCTGAGAACTCTTTCTCTTTTTTTCATTAAAATACCTGTAGAATCATCCAAAGGAGAGAAGCCACCTCATCAATTGCCAAAGCAAATGGAATTGAGCACATTCCTATTTGTGATCAATTGAGGCAATACTGGCCTCCAAACTGACCTACAAATATTGTCTCAAGAAAGATTTCTATCAGAAGCCATATGGCCCCATCCTAGTCTTCACTAACGTGAGCTTCACAACAAGTACGAGGTAAGATTTTTTTTGTCTGCCCCAACTTCCCCTTCTGTCTAAATTGCCCAGTACATCATTTACTAGCTCCCTATAGTCTTAGGGATTTAAGACTCAACCCTCATCCCTCCAATCCAAAGCCACTTACTTCGCTTTCCATCCCAGGGTTTTACACCAAGTCTTTGCCTCTCTTTCTTCACACTGCTGCCTTGCTTGGACTTTCTCCTTGGATCTTGACCCTGGCTTCATCACTCAATGTTGCTTTTCAGATTTTTTTCTCCCCAACCTTTAACCCACAGGTCAATCTTGACCCACTTCTATGTTGCTCCTGGAACCACAGCCTAAGTCCAGCATCCTGGATACAGGAAATTATGAGTAACGCAACCACACTAAGAAAATACCCCACGACAAGAGAAAAAGAAACGTGCAGAAGAAGTCTCAAAGGAAATGCTTGAGTTAGGACTATTAGCCATCATCAACAAGATGAAAAGAAGAATGGCGAAGACAGACTAGATTGAATTCTAGAACTATTCTGCTGACAGCAGTGGCAGTAAAAAGTATAGACCTTCCTGTGAGAATCACATTCATGAAACAACAGATAGTTTCTAGGAACATATGTGGGATACATAACGACAAACAATAATGTAAGAGAAGATGACAGATGTGGAAAGTAGAACAGCAATCTAACTAAAAATTAACATGTATTTCTGAATGTAGAATAAACACATCAGGACAGATAATTAAGGATATAACTGAAGAAAAATTTTCAGCATTAAAAAAAAGGAAAACTAAACTAAAATTGGATATTGAAAAGGCTTACTATTTTCTAATCAACATCAATAGCAGTAAAGTAACCAAAATCTGGTAAAATCTTTAAATTTCAATAAAAATGAAAGAATTTTCCAAACTTCCAAGTATAAAAATAAAATTGCATTAAAAGAAGCCAAAATCAGGAAATTCTCAGACTTCTTACTATAACACCCAATGCCAGAAGATAATCAAGATAATGGGGTGATGACTTCACAGCCCTGACAAGAGTTTCTGCAGGAACACTTTATAGGCCAAGCTGCCACTCATTCATATGTGAATGTAATAGACAGATGCTCTTTGTTCTGCACACTTGAGTACCCTGCCTTCAGGAATCACTGTGGGTATTATCCACAACTCCCAGGCCCTGAATGAGAGGACAAAATGATCATCAGATTAGCTTCAGGGATAAGCAAATGAGAGAAAGGGGACAGGAATTTTCTTAAGAGAGAGAGATGATGCTAATAAGTCAACAAAATTAAATCTCATTACCAAATTAGGACACCCATATGAAATGGGAATGCCAAACCCTTATATGAAACTGCTGAAGAGCAATGAAAGGGAGAAGAAAAAAATGGTTAAAATTCCCTATAAGTTAAAGCAAAAAATTATTTGATTTGATTAAGTACATTTAAGTTCATTATTTTAGTATTGATAGAATTTATGGAATGTCAGCAATATTATGAGCACCACTAAAAATTTGGCATTTATCTCTTATATTATACCTAAATATTCATTTTTGATCCTTGCATTAATTCAACAAGCATATACTGACATTTAGCTGTGCCAGACTGTGCTCTAGGTTTCAGGGCACACTTGAGCCTTTATCTCTCCTCCTGACTCCAGACATAAGCAGGGGTACTCATGAGTTGGGTCAAGGTCAAGCACATCATTACTTCCTAGATTAGTTGGGTGATGCTTTTGGTGAGATGAGACAAGATGGTCATGTTTCCTGTGTCTATGTGTTTTTAAACTGAATCTTCCTTTGAAATGTCTATTGAAACCAAAACCCATTGATAGGTAAAATGGGACTGGGACTGACTTCAATGTAGGAGGAAACCTTTGGCCTGGGAAGGACTAGCAGGACCAGAGTAGAGTCACAAAGCACGAGGCAGAAGGCCTTGGTGAGCCACTCTAAGCTTAAGGGAGAAAGGTCCCTTCACTTGGATTCTTGAACTAAGGTTGGTGTTTCCTTGCTTCTTCTCACACCAGAAGATAAGTCATCTTACCTGCATAGGGTGAGTTTAGGGAAAAAAGGCCAAGGAGGCCACATGCCTATTTTGTGTCTAGGCCACTCAGCCCTCTTTCAAAAAGCACATTGTGGTTCCTTACGATCCAGTCAAGAGGGCCAGGTATTTTACATAAAGATTAAGGTCAAAATCCTTAGAGTGGCATTTCCATAAAAGTATTCTCAAAAACAAAAAGTTTGATCATAAAAATCAGGGTTTTTCAAGCTGATTTTTTTAAAAAACCCTCTTAGAGTTTTATAGAAAAGATCAGCATATTGATGTATCCAGCAGCAAAGTTTATTTAATCTTGGTTAATTCTGCATTTCCAAACCAAAACTGACCACAGAAGTCTTTATGCGGAAGGCCTATTTACATGTGGAAAAATAGTAAAATTGTTTATTTAAAACTGTTTTAGAGTAATAGAGTAACTTTCACTTGCAGTTGTTCTCACATTGCATAAAGTAACAATAATAATTACAGCTACTACATATTGAATGCTTACTGTATGCCTGTATGCACCAGTCTAAATGCTTTATGTGTTGTCATATAATCCTCATATCATCACCATGCGATAGGTCCTGTTATTATTCCTACTTATCAGATGAGGAAACTAAGAGATGACATAACTTATCCAAGAGCACTCCGTTTGTAAGGGACAGAACAAGAATTTGAACTCAGGCAGACTAACTTCAGAATCCAGCACTTGATTGCCTCCTACCCAACTATTAATGTCTTCCTATAATACAGTTAATACGTGGTTAAACAGCCAGAAAGTAAGTTCTAGATCCCAGCCAACTCCTCACCTCTTTCCAATTTGACGACTCCATTCATATCAGACAGTGGATAAAATGACAAATATAATTCTTATCTTTAGACGAGGGACAATCTGGGAAGAAGAACAGACAAGTTAGTCGATAAATACAACCCATCATGATCCATACAGTAATAAAGGAATATATCCAGGAATTTTACATTATTTCACAACAGCTGGCAAAGGCACCGACCAATCAGAATAGAAGCTAGCCATAAGGCAGGCGCAAAGTCCCAGAGGCTCCCTGCTGTACTGGCATTTCCCCTTTCCTTGCCGGATCATGGGGTGATCCAGACAGTCCTGAGGTGAGGCCAAGGTAACCAGGGTGTTGGAGCTCTGTGTGGGCTCAGAGCAATAGCTGTTTTTCAGCTTGCACAGAAGTCTTTCAATGTTTTAACAACAGATATGGCCATAAGGCAGCCATATTGTCTGCATATATCATGGGGGTTTTCCTGTCTACTGCATTCATGTAGCCCTCAGGTTATCAACCAAAGGTAGCAAAGCTGCTCCTAAGCTGGCTAAATTCAAGACACGGGAGGAGGAGGCTGATTTTCTCCCTCCTCTATTCTCCCTATGCCTCCCCCTCCAGCCCGCAGCAGACCTGATCCTCTATCTCAGCATTTCCCAGTGTGGTATTCATGCCATTAGTAACAAAAACAATCACTTTAGGAGGTCACAATGAGCTTAAAAAATTCCAATAGCCATGTATTTCAAACTAGCAAATCAACCCATAATTATGTTGCCATTATTGCTTAGAACGAGACTACATTTTTTAAGCTTAAAAAGTTAAACAGATGTATACCAAAAAGGCAAAAATCACGAAGCTATTAAATAAAGGATTAGATCTGAGAAGCACTGTTCTATCTTAACCAAGATGACTTTCTTCATTCATCTGACATTTTTCTATATTATCTCTCAGTGCTGTGCTTAAATACCCTTTTTTTTTTTTTTTTTCACTTCATCCTACTATTCTAGGTCACTGTTCTCTCTGGCAGCCCAAAGCCTATTGCAATCTCTTTTTCAGGAATGAACAAAATGATTTCCATATTCATCACAGCTTGCAGCTTTTGAAAGCCAGTGATAGAAATGCAAACTATCTAAAGCAAAGGAATACAATTTATTACCTAAGTATCCAAACCACAGAGATGTGGATCCAACTTCAGGCATGACTGGATCCCTGGGGCAGGATAGTGTCAGAACTGACACTGCTATCTCTGAGTGTTCGCCTCTTTCTTTCTCACAGACTTTTCCACGACAGTCAACGTGGCAGCAGATAGCTCCAGGGTCGCGCAATCTTACAATGCTGAGAACAATTTAAAATTTTCCGATAAGCCCGCTCAGAAAAATTTCAGGGAAGGACTCTGATTGGCTAGAACTAAGTCACATATTCAGTAGAAGTACATATTTAGGGTGGGAGAAAAGAGTTTCCCCTAAAGAGAGAAAAGAGAAAAATGTGGCATAAGATTTTAAATTCAAAAATGTCAACTATATAAACAGCATCTTATGTAATTTTATGCCAAACTTTGGGTGTTTGAGAAGGCTTCTCTCATATTAAGGGAGCTCAGATATTTGAAGGGCAAGAAGTTCTGTAAGATTATGTAGAAAGGTGGTCCCCATACTCTATAAAGTGCTCCTAAAAGATTTTATAGATGCGGAGATGCTTGCAGGATGAGTTGGAGTTCGCTCGGTGAGCAGTAGGTAACAATCTAGGCAGAGGGAACAGTACATGAAAATTCAAAGAGGGAGAAAATAGCATAACCGGAGGGACAACAATGTTTATCAGCTGGTTGGTTTATTTCTATTTCATCATTCCCTACAGGACTTGTGGTAGCCAGGACAAAAGTGGGAAGTTGTTGCATTCCTCAAGAGCAATAATAGAAAAAGGAATAGGAAGCAGTATTAGTCAAGATGGGCTAACTGCTGTAGAAAGTAACCTGAAGGTCTCAGGGGCTTAATGTAATACGATATTGTCTTTTGTCTCAGTCCAGTGAAGTGAGAAGGGGGACAGGAGAGGAGTCTCTGTTTTGTGCAGTCATCCAGGGACCTATGATTCTTCCAACCTCTGGCCTTGCTATTGTCCTGAAGGGTGTTTCTCAAATTCAGAATCACCTAGAGGGCTTGTTAATACCTAGATTGCTGGGCCCCAACTCCAGAGTTGCTGATCTTGGTAGGTCTTGGGTGGGTCCCAAGAATCTGCATTTGAACAAGTTTCCAGGTGGCATACATGCTACTGCTCCTGGGACCCCATTTTCAGAACCACTGCTGGATAAGCCTCCAGCAACTGCCTTCAGTGTTCAGCTAGTGGATGGGGAAGAAGACAGTGCTCAGAGAAGGCACACCTACTCTTAACTGCCTTCGCTAAGAGGTGGCAAGCATTACTGTCATTAAAAACTAGTCACCCAGACCTATCTAGATATAGGAACTCTGAGAAATGTACCCCAGCAATGCGTTGGGAAAGGAGAAAAACTCAATTTTTGTGCGCACTAACAGTTAGTGTCACAAAGCATAACTGAACTAAAAACATCAACTAAAACCTGAAAGGCCCTCCTAGGGGCAAAAAGTGATTGGATTACTGAACTATTACAGACGGAAAAAATATTGGTTTTGTAGAATTATATTCAGAGAATATTTTCACATTGCTGGGGTTTTTTTTTTTTAATTTTTTTGGCCACACCCGTGGCACATGGGATCTTAGTTCCCCGACCAGGGATCGAACCCGTGTCCCCTGCAGTGGGAGCGTGAAGTCTTAACCCCTGGACCACCAGGGAAATCCCTCCATATTGTTGTTTAGCCCTCTTATTCTTTCACCCAAAAATATAAAATATCTAGAATTCTTCTGGATAGTTTTATTAGTTTGTCCACACAAATACACACACACACACACACACACACACACCCCCCATACTTTAGTTTGCCTTGTATCCTAGTTTGCTTTCTCTTTAGAGTGGAATTAGGTTGTATCAAGTCCTTTGTGGAAGCACGCATATTGTAAATTATTTTAAAAAATACATATACGCTAAAATAAAAATTGTTTTCCATTGGGGGAGGGTCACCTAATGAGTAAGCGTCATTTCAGTCCGGGGTTCACAATTTAGTTGAAGTTTTTGCTAAAATCATCCTTGCCTTCCACTAACATGGTGACGACCTGAAAGATTAAAATATCCTCCTGCTGCTTATGATACAAATGAGCTGCTACATGTTATGTGCACCAATATGCTCCTCGTCTGGAACCTAATTCATAACGCAGTATAAATGATGGGGCAGTTACCTCCCAAGTTGCAAAGTTGCCTTCACCTGTGGTTTAATTCTTCCAGCTGCCTTTTCCTCGTTCAGTTTTCTTTCAAATACAGAAGGGCAGTAATTACGTCCTATTTTTAATTACGCATCCACTCTCAAGGGAAGAAAGGAATCTGATTGTTTCCATACAGACCAAAATTCTTCCTCCTCACTCTGGACTTGCCTTTGCTTCGACTAGTGCTGCGGTTAACAGCTGAATTTTCGGCTTGTATTAGGCTCACTTGAATTTCGGATTTTTCTGGGATTGCAGTTCCTGAGGATGACAACACGGCATTACAAAGGATTGTGAGCAATAGACTTCTCATTCTCTAATTAATTCATTGTCCTTTGCAGAGACTTTGTCAGAAGCCACAAATTGCAGTGCTTGTAAAATTTTATGAACACGCAATAAAAAATCCTGGGAAACTTTCATCAAATTTTGGGCTCCCGAGATATATTTAACTTCTATGAGCAATTTAACATCATATTAAATCAGTATAAACTAATTGCCAAGAAAGCATAGTTTTGAGGTTTAATATTTACTCACAAAGCAAGCTAATACTGAGATATCACAGAGGCCACTTCCACTATGGGTTTATAAACTAGCAAAGTCAAGGAATGATGTGAAATCCACTACATATGTGAATATCCAGCCCCACATTTCTGCTTCCTTTCCATGCCCAGTACACAGTGCTTAGCAACTGGCCTCTGAAAGGCAGTCCCTGTAATGAAAAGAGCCAAGGGCTTTGCCATCAGAAGACTCCAGGTTCAAGCACTGCCTCAGCAATTTTACTAGTTGTGGCCTTGTGTTGTTAATCTTTCTAAATTTCAATTTCATCATCTGGAAATGGGAATTAGAATATGAAAAATGGAACCTCCTTCACTGCATAAGTATCTTTTACAGCTACAAATCTGGGTTGTTCCCATTGACTCAGCACTGAACCTAAGACAAACCTAAGACAAACCTAAGACAAAGTAGGAGAAGTGTAATCCCCTTGCCTGAGTCCCACTTCCTTTGGCCAACAATCTCGTAATGCTAATGCCTGCCCAGCCTCACCCATCTGTTCCCCTTCTGTACTTTCACTCAGTCAATGCTCTACATCAGGCTTTGTCCCAAACTCTCCTATCTTTTGGAGACAGACTTCCAACGTGGACACTTACAGCCATGACCATTGTTTACAGAATCTCTTTTGGACAGGCAGTGACTTTCAAAACCTTGAAATCTGTATAGTGTATACAGTGTATATACTGTATAGTGATGGATGGAAACTAAACTTTTTGTGGTAAGCACGCCATAGTATAGACAGACATCAAATTATAATGCTGTGCACATGAAACTTATATAATGTTATAAACCAATGTAACCTCAATAATAAGTAAATAAATTGATAAATAAACAAATAAACCTTGAGATTACTTCGAGTACATGGAGTCTTATTTCAGCTCTCTACCACATGCAGGCCAGTCCTGGATATTAAACATTTGTTCTATCAGATGTACAAGTACCATCTCAACTTTGCAGCAGGGTGCAGAATGAAACTTGGTATAAAATAAACTAGCTTTCTTGCTAGTCTGTTTGATCTTCATCTTAGGCAAGTCACCTAGCTTTCCTGAGTCCAGTTTACCTATCTATAAATAGAGATAATATGTGCCTAAGAGCGTTTTGGGAAGGATTTAATGAGGTAATACGTATAGTAGCTAAGAATTATTGAGCAGTTAAGTTGTTCTAAGCACTTTACATGTAGTTTCTCAAATCATCTTCACAATAAAACCATGAGGTAGGTGAGATTATTATTCCTATTTATAGATACAATCCAAGGGGAGTAAGTAATTTGCCCAAAATTATACAATCAGTAATTGCTGGAACGGAGACAATCCCAGACCACCCGGCTCCCAAGAGCTTATCACACATATAAGGTGCTTGGTTAATTGAAGCCATAATTATCCACAGCAGGGAATATCACAGATTTACTCCTGGACAGCATGGCTTAGGAAGTACAAGGTGTAGTAGAAGGAGCATAAAACTCAGGACAAAAGTATTTAGATTTGAGTCCTAGATGCATCATATCACTATATGATCTTTGGCAAGCCACTTAATTGCTCCTAGGTTGTTTCCTTGTGTGGTCAACAAGAATACTTACTCCTAAATCACAATTTTTTTTTGAGAAAGAAATAAGATACTCTTTTAAAGAATGCCTGTTAGGTCACAGCTGAATAAATTTGGGAGTTTCGTTTAGCAGAACGTTATTTCTGTTTCCCAATCTGCTTCTGCCCCTCTTTGCTGCAATAGTGCCCTATCTCTTTTCACATCAGGGCCCTGCAACACTCATGAAGGAAAAAGTTATTGATATAAATACCTATCAAGACATATTCTTTGATTTTTTTTGAAGTGTATGAAGAGAGAGGTTGGTTAATCTGAAAGAATGCCTTTATAATAGTGGAATTTCAAGCACTGTTCCATTCATATAAGGGAGCTATTTAAGGCAAAAGAAACTTTCTCAGTGTGCTGGAAATCATAAATCAGACCATGGAGGTCACCTCCAAGTCAGAGGGTACAAACAGGCCCAACCAGTATTGTTTGCCACACAGTCTTTTTTTTTTTTTAAAGTGACTATAAATGACTAGAGGTGAAATATGGGCTTAACTATTCTCGCATTAATTTAAATCCCTGAAGCTTGGCCCCTATCATAGGCTGGTGAGTTTGCCACCCCTACAGATCAGCACCTTTCTAGAGCTTTGGGGAAAGCTCAGTTGCTTAGATGAGCCACAAAGGATGGACTACCATCTGCTGTTTTCATTCATTCAATCCTGTACTTAAAGAAAAAGACCTTAGAATTTACTGTCAATGAGAAAAATAACACCCCTTTGGATCTCCACCTCCAGTCAGTTTTAGCCCACCCAAAAAGTCACTAATACACTTAGACCTATTGTATGCACTGATTTATAGGGTAACGATATTTAACTAGGCTATAACTAAAGCACCTGCACCAGAGACCCACACTCTGTGAAAACTACAGTAACAGGTTTATACTCATGAGATAATCCAGATCGCTTTCCATTAACACCTACCTTGACATTCAAACAGCTATGTACAAAGAATCCCTTGAGTGGATCTCCACAGTAGTATTTGCTTGAACAACTGCCCCAGAATTGACTAGTGTAAGACTGAATTGACGGGCAGGAATTTGAGGATTCAGACTGGGATGTGAACACCTCCCAGCCAAGCAAATCTCTGGGACACTAGACAGAATTACTATCTTGAGAGACAAAATGTCTAAATAACCACAAGGAAACTGATTCTGCAGGCATCAACTATCACATCTGTTGACAACTGTTATTTATTGAACACCATCAGCAAAGCCTTTGACTCTACGAAGCATAAAAAAAAAAAAAACCCAGTAAAATCTGTGTAATTGAGTCATACACACATACCTTGTGTTGATCTGAGTTTGTCCAAGGAAACTTAGGGGCCTTAGTGCAGGTGAAGAGATCAATGTAAATGCTTTGGGGCAAATGTACCATCCAACTTCCTCTTGTGCAGTCACATAACGCTGGTCACTCGGACCCACTCCTAGCATTCGTGGAGTCCAGAGTAACAGTGCAAATGGAGATCCAGACATCAAAAGTCAAATACCTAACAGACACTAAGCTAACACTCTATTAGGTAACACATGTTCATTTTTGCTAGCTGGACATATAAACCTTCACAGTGGTCTGGAAGCTCAGTCTGAATTTAGGTTTCTCAGACTCCTCAAAGCTCCACGCTAGAACCAGATCACCAGCCTGCAGTGACTTATCCCACCTTTCGCGAACGTCGTGAGGGGCCCCACCTGCATGTGTGTGGACTCCCCAGCCGGTATGTGCGAACTCTACCCACGGCCCTGAAAACAGCCACCCTTTGGCCACATCTCAGCCAAGGGGGGCACACGCTGGCAGCATGGGCAATCTTTGGGAGGACTGAGCAGGCAAGAACGGCAGGGGACTCTGAGGTCTGTGGCATATTCCCTTGACTGCTTCAAGGGGAGGAACATAGCCAGAGGAGTACCAGTGCAGTACCCTCTAATGTAGGGGGGCCTCTAAAGTGGGGGAAGCTCAAGGTAGGGGTCCTTTTTGCCTCTTCTGTCTAGGTCTTAGGCCTAAAGGCAACACTGGGTCCACTTGGAGCCAAATCATAGTACTTGATTCATACTTTCCCCTGCAGTGTTGGGAATGATGGCACTGCATAAAGCCACAATTCTTGCTTGATTCACAGAATTCACAGAAGCCTGTGTGGTTTTAGGCCTCTCCAAGAATTTTAGATGATCTGAAATCTGAACTACTTTGCAAGAAATCTAAGGCCCATGGATGATCCTGGGCTTAAGAGACACTCTAAGCGTTTTCCCAGGAAAGTAATGTCCCTACAGCTAGTTGTCTCAGCCCAGCCCTTTCACCTTCACTCCACTTGGAGTAAGTAAACACTTGACTCAGATGTTTCAGGATCTGGGTCAGAATCAACCCAATGTCTCAGGGTGTAAACTATGCTTCTTCCCAGGACTTTGCCCCCCTTTTATTAACCAACGGAGAAGTTACAGTTATTTGTATTGATTGTGTAAGTTTTCTATTCTTCACACACACTTTCCCAGAGCCAAGTAATGTTTATTATTTTCTCCCTCACAGTGAAAAATGCAGTGCCTTTCTTAAAATATGCTATTAGAAAGGGTAAGCTCAGGGATTTCCCTGGCGGTCCAGTGGTTGAGACCTAGCCTTCCAGTGCAGGGTGTGTGGGTTCAATCCCTGGTAAGAAAGCTGGGATCCCACATGCCTTGTGGCCAAAAAACCAAGACGTAAAACAGAAGTGTGGTAAATTCAATAAAGACTTTAAGAATGGTCCACGTCAAAAAAATCTTAAAAAAAAAAAAAAAGGGTTCGCTGAGTTACTTTTAAAGAATGGAATAAAATATAATTATCTAGCCTTCTTTTAAAAGCATTGCACATATCTTTCTTTAAAGTATTATTTGTAGGGGAACTTGGAGATTATCGATCTAACCTTCTCACTTCACATGACAGAAACGGAGGCCCAGAGTAGTCAGAAAACCTATGTAAGGTCATGCAGCACAATTCACGGCAGAACTGAATCAAGTCCAGAGTCCTGTGTGCTTTGCTAGCCCCAGTCGATGACAATTTTAATATATCACATGACTTGACTTTAGAAGGAGGAAAAGAGAGGGATTAGGGAAATTGGCCAGGGGAGCCCTGGTCAATTTGGGTGAATAGGCCATGGATCTTGGGCTTTTG